ATTAAAATCAATTTCGTGTTTTTTTGATTTTAGAAAATCTGAATAATATTTTTATTAAACTATTATTACTACTATTATTTTTCAAATTTCATTTTTAATAATTTCATTATGTTTATTTACAGAAAATGTCCAAAGCTTTCTACTAGTTGGTTTTGATGGAGCCACATCTCAACACCTCTTCATCATTTGTGCATAATTTTCAGGCATTTCAGGTAGTATTGGTGGTCGTAAACCTTCACATATATCAAAAATCAAACAATGATTGTGAGCTCTATCATCAAATGGTGGTGGATGACCTGGAAATATTTCCCACAAAGTTATAGATATCAGATTCTTTGTATCAATTTTGCCTCTAAGTAGTTCAGGTGCAACATATGATATAATTCCATAGACTATTTGATGATTCATCATCAACTGGTCCACATAATCCCAAATCTGTAATGTAACAACCACTTCCTTTCAATAATATATTGCCACTATGTAAATCACAATGTATTAAATCTTTCTGATGTATCTCATTTAATGCATTGCATAAATAATCAAAGATTCCAATTCTGTCTCTTAATGCTAAATTTAAATATTTTTTTGCAAATAATCCCTTAAATTTCTTTCTGATAAATAATTTAAAACAATTGCATAATTCACATTATCTGGGAATTTAGTTATACCATAGCATTGAACAATCAGTAATGCCTTAATTTTATAATAATTTGTTGACTATAATTGAATATAAATCAATTAGTATTATATAACACAGTATTGTTTATTTTTGTTTTAAATAAACAAATACCAACCTCATTAAAAAGCCTTTTCCTGATTACTTGAATCATTTAAATTTTTTAATACTACATCTTTCTCTCCAAGATAATTAAATTCCTTTTTATTTTCATCATAATCAACTATTCTCCCTCTTGTCCATTCTGCAATATAAATTGAACTAAATCCACCTTCTGTTAACTTTGTTACTTTTTCAAATTGCTCAAAAGGTATCCATTCTAAAATATAGTCTGGTAAAGATGATTTCATTTGACATTGTTGAATAAAATCATCAATTATGTTAATTTAATCACTGATTCTATCACATCTTGTCGCTCTGTTTATTCCTTCTGACTCTTTGTTTTGTCACAATTTCTTATCTTCTGATGAGCCATTGTTTTGTTATTATTGCTAATGTTTTACGAATATTGTCCTAAATGAAATTTTGTTTATGTGGTAATACTAAAAAAATTAGAACATGTGACTTTTTATTTGTGACTTTGGGAATTGGGACTATTTGGGTTTTGAATTTCGGCAAGTATAGTTGGATTTCGTCGAATTGAAGGGATTAGATAGAAACGTAGTAAAATATTAGATAATGACAATAATAATATAATAACGATAAATAAAAAGAAATTTATCTAATCTTAACATTAGATAATTAAAATGCGCATAAATGATCAATGAATTTTATTTATACGAATGTTTTTTTGTTTATTCTTGCATAAATATATCATTAACATCATGAAACAATTGATCCACTTCTTCTTTCTTGTCAGAATAACCTGCAGATTAATCGATTGATTAATAATAGAGAAATAAATAAATAAGTGAATGAATGAATTCAAATATTTCACCCCATTTTGATAACAAGTCTACTAAGCCTTTTATTTGAATCCACCAAGCTTTAGTGCTTTTACGTCTATCCATATCAGTTTCTGGCAGTAAATCAATAACAGGCTATGTATACAAATATATATATTTATGTTAAAAATATTAATTGTTAAATATCGTTTTTATCCTGTGAAACAAAAAATATAAAATAAAACAAAATTTTCACCCGATAAACGACATGTTCACCATCAATTCCAATCACAGCAGCAGATTCTTTAACATTGGTGTAAACCCTTGGTTTTGCAATGGAAGTTTGAGGTGGCAGTAAATGTGATGATGGTGATAATAACTTTTTTGATGTAGCAGTAACGGTAGAAGTTGAAGAAAATGCATGATTCTCCAAGAATTTAACACACATTACTGCAAGTTTAATTGCTCGAATACGATCTAAAGGTGATGGAGTAGCACCTTGCTGAATGTGACCTAAAATACTTGTTCTGGAATCAAATAGTCCATGAGCTTCAGTTTGAATAATATCAGCTATTACATTTGTTGTATAGGTAGTAGACACACATTCATTTCTATATTAAATAAATGGTAAATAATTAAAAATAATAATAATTGTATATTCCATAATTATGAAGCAAAGTATTTTACCTGAGAATTAAACGTCCTGAACCTGCACCTTTTTTATCTTCACTAAATCTTCTATTCAAATGATCAACATCCGATTGAAGAGTCTTTAAAGATAATCCTACTTCTGGAATGTATGTACTTGTTGCTCCAACCTATACATTTACAAATACACACATATATATATAACATTTATAAAAACATACATTTATTTATTTTGATCTGGAAAAAAGTTAAAATAATTATAATAATGCATTTACCGCAAGTCCGGCCAAAACTGTCAAATAACCACAATAACCACCATGTAATTCAACCACAAAAACTCTTCTTCTGGAAGCAGAGGCAGATTGTTTGATTGTATCACAACAGTCAACTATAGTATTTAAACTCGTATCACTGCCCAAGGAATAATCTGTGCCAGGAACATTGTTTGATATGGTAGCAGGCAAACAAATCATTGGAATACAAAATGCTGGATAAATATTCCGAGCATTATTCAATTTGATAAGCGAGCTGTAAGCTTCAAAACCTCCAATCAAGAGTAAAGCATCAATTCTGTGTTTTTGAAATTGGAATGCCACCATTCCAATATCTGTATCAGGTTCACTTCGATTGGTGCCAAGTTCTGAGCCACCTTTAGGAGTCCAACCATCAACATCTATCCAAGAAAATTCTCGGAGGTTGTCTTCTAAAAGACCCTTGAAACTATTAAATATTGCAACAGGAATATGACCTCGATTAAGTGCATATCGAACAGCTGCGGCTGTTGCTGCATTCATTCCACTAGCTGGCGCACCAACATGGATTATTCCAATACGAAGACGCTAAAAATACATGAGAAAAATTAGAAAATATTAATATAAATAAGAAATTTTATTGACAGTTAATTGAACCTTAGATTCTTCTAATTTAGATGCATAGCCATCAGTGAATATGACTGCTTTGTATACATCAAAAGCATCGATAAATTCTGAATCACGTAATTCCATAGCTTGTTTAAAATCCTTTTTTTCAACAGCCTTTGCAATTTGGTGTGTCTGAACAAAATAAATAAATAAATAAATAGATTTATAATAAATAAATAAATGATTCATATAAGCATCATCACATACTAATTTAACTGCTTTCATTAAAGGTTCACATGTAATCTTATTTTTTTTAATTCCAATCATAGGTGATTCACTATCAGGCGTTGCATTAAGAATTGCTTTTACTGCTTCATAACCTTGTAAAGTTGCCTTTTTTTTAAAAAAAAAAGTTTTTTTTTAATAATGATAAATTCATATATTGATATAAATTACTTATTACTTACAAGATTTCTATCAAAGACACATGGTCTTCCACCACGTTGTATATGACCCAATGTTGTAACTCTGGTATCAAGACCCATATTATTTTTTAAAAGATCTTTGATGTAATCAGCTTTTATTGGTTGCAAGTTTTTATCAATAGCTCCCTCTCCAACAATCACGATAGTTCTAAATTTTCCAAGATTACGATGCTAGGAATATGCATTAACTTTAAATTAATAATAATTTAAATCCATTTTACAAAAAAAAAACTAATATATTTATATACATTTTTAATAACTTGACACATTTCTTCTTCCCAATTATCTGATGATGGTGGACTTTCAGGAATAAAAACAAAATCTGAATTGGTACTATATAATTTATTTTATAATTCAAAATATATTTTGATGAATTTATGCCAAAATAAGTTGAAAATCACTCATAAATTATAAAAAAAAAAAACATCTCTTAATACCTAATTGCTGCCATTAATGCCAACCAACCACAATTCCTTCCCATCACTTCAATGATAAAAGCACGTGAATGACTATATGCTGTAGATGCAATGCAGTCAACAGCTTCACAAATTCGATGTAACGAGGTAACAGCTCCAATGGTCAGATCAGTTGATGACATATCATTATCAATTGAACCAACCATTCCTACAATTGTTAGATTATTATGAGATGCTGCCTCTTCCTTTGTAACTCTCCCTATCCAGTGAAATTATTATATTTTAATATTAATGCTACTAAGAATCAGATAACATTTCATCATTGATTATTATTACCCAATTTAACCAATTCTTCTATCAACCCAGGCCATTCTGATCTAAAAATATCTGCTCCAGTCAACGAACCATCACCTCCACACACAATTAATGAATCTATTTCATTCTTAATCAAATTGTATGCTGCTTTTAATCTGCCATCACGTTCTTGAAATTCTTTACAACGAGCAGTTTTTTATAAGTGTACCACCCTAATAATATATGATTTTATTATTTTTATTGTTTCTACATTAAATAAAATAAAATTTTTTCTTCTAGAATTTAAATGAATTAATTGAAACTCTCAAAAATGATGTTACAGGATGGAATTTGGATATGTTGAAAGACGTACAAAATAATGTTAGTATATATAATCCAATTAATTACTAATTATATGGCATACGATAGCAGTAATAGTGATTTTTAAAAATGAATATTTGTTTGTTTTTTAATCATAAAAATAATTATTCACTAAATTAGGAATCTCTTGGAAACGCATGCAAAGATTTTTATATTAAATCTTTTGAAATAATAAAGCAAAAACAACAACGTAATCGAGAAGCCAATCATAAAATAGGCAAGTTTTAATAATAATAATAATAATAATAATAATAATAATAATAATAAATTCTAATCCTTTAATCCTAATCACAATTCCAATATCATCAGATGATCTGCCGTCAAAGTTTGAAAAAGAGGTCAAATTAATACAATTAATGGGGAATGAATTCCTAAGACATTTCTGGGCAAGTTATGGTTCTAATGTTAAAGAAAAAATGGAAAAGAATAAAAGAATGGTGGAACAGTTAAAAACTACATTGACGAAAATACGTAAACTACTAGAAATTCAACTAGATGATGATGAGTTGCAAAAATTTCAGCAATCCCAAACCAAATTAAATGTTAATGGTGCCAATAGCGTTAGTAATGGTGGTGGTGGTGGTTCATTAAAGCTTCAAAAAAAAGTGATTAATAACCTTAATAATCTTAATCTTAATCTTAATAGCAGTGGTGGTGGTGGTGTTGGTAGTGGTGGTAGTAGTAGTAGCAATATTAATGGAAAAAAACAATCAATGGAAATTTCACAAAATCTAAAACAGGTATTTATTTTATTCTTCATTCTTAAAATAATAATAAATGTATTTATTTATTGTCGGCACTTTATTCCGTTATTAGATTCTTAGACCATTAATTAAATCAATTGAAAAAGCTTTAACATTACATCGTGAATTTAATAAAAGAAAAGTTGAGATCAAATCAAATCAATCTAAAAAATAACTGACAAATTAAATAAAAAATAATAAATTTACTAATTAATTATATATATCATTTGTATTTTTCTCTGATCGAAAAATTTCTGTCACATCTAAATACGTGGAAAAATAACTCACTTGTATCTTTGAATCCTATAATTTCGTTTTTTTTAAAAAAAAAACCCCCCTTTGGAATTATCATAAACTCGTTATTTAACAACCTTATTAATTCCAACAATAAGGATATTATGACTATTATGATATAAAAGACTAGAGTTGGGATGGCCAATATTTTAAAAGCAAAATGATTTATCCATTTTGCTTGCTTTATCTGATGATTGGACAAAAAAGACTGAAGACGGTTTGAAAAAGAAAATGTATATTCAAATTTAATTCATTCAATCGAGGTGAATCACGAGACATTTTATATGCTCAAAAAAGAAGTTGCAATTTCTAAAAGTTATTTATTGCATAGAGGGAAAATGGTTTCAACAGAACTGGGTTTATTTTTCAAAGTACTAAAAATCCGATGATGGATGACTTTAGAAATATTTTCAATGTAGAACAAGAATGATTTTGACGATTGAGAAACTTCTTCAATATCATAATATTAATATCGAGTGATCCAAGAACAAATAGTTCTCCTTGTGCTCAAGTGATATATTTTGAGGATAAATGAATGTCATAGTAATATGGTTATAAAAAAAAATTGGTTGGTGGTTATAATCCCATTTCCTCCAAGGACGAATAAAAAAAATTATTTTTTTAAAAATTTACATAATATTTTGAATTGATTTACATCAAGCAATATACCATATGTTAATTTCAATTGCTTTTTATGTTTAACAGCACGATATTATTATTATGAAAATAATTCGAATTTCGTTTTGGCAAAGGGTATATATTTTTTCCTTTCGCTAGTATATAAACATTTAATATTAAATTGTTTGTTTGTATTTGTGTTGTGTGCTAACTGTTAACTGCTAGTACCCATAATAAATAAAATTTAAAATACAAAGAGGTTGGAATTTCTTTTACAAGTAAAAACCAATTGGGAACAAATTATATACAATGTACACATTAGATATTGTCAAAATATGAAGAAGAGGTTGAAGTGGTAATAGTTACAATTACTTACATTCTCATGATTAGTGTATAATATGTATGACCAAATTATTGTCTAAATTAATCAATTCGTTCGTTTACCGATTAATTTTAATTAACGGATACACACAAACACGGTTAGGAAGGTTGTGGAACTAGTACAAATTTGAAAGAATATTACTGGTGTGTAACGTTTCTTCACTGAACTTTAGTGGTATCGGATTAACATAACAATGTCACGTTCCAAAAAAATGAATGAAAAATAAAAACAAGGGATTTCCAAATCAGTATTTCAAGTAAATTTAAAATTGAGTCCAACACTATATTGCTATTTTTAACACAACAAGGATCGATCGGCGTTATATATGCCAAGGTTATACGAAAAACATCAAAAGATAAATAGAGAGATTATCAAAGAAAGAAAAATTTTTAATTGTTTTCTTAATAGCCCGCATAATACATGTCGATGTAATATGCACATAAAAAGGGAATACAAGATTTCCTATTGAAATAATTTATATAAATTGGGTTTTTAATTTAACTTATTCGTCATTTATAATTTATCGTCATAATTATTATTCTTAACAGGTAATTAATGGGAATTCTTATTTGAATTCAAATAAATTTCTCTCACTCTCTTTTCATTTTTTTCTTCTCGTTGAAAATTGTTGTTTGCCTTTTCTTTCTTCGAATGGTTGAATGCCATCAGAAGTAGAAAAAGAAAAGAAAAAACAATACAATAACAATTAAAAACGTCTTTTTTATTTCTTCAATTTTCATTTTTTCTCATTAATTAATTTTATATTAATTAACCAATTTTTTAGGTGCTTGAATCTCCGACTAACTATATCATCACCATCATATCATCATATCAGCATTTTAATTTGCATCATCATTATCATCAACATTTTAATACTAATCTGAATCAACATCAACATCAACGTTTCCAAAAATACATTTATATTTGATTAAAACATTCTTTAGATAGAATTTTTTCTCAAGAGAAAAAAAAGTTTCGAGAACTTGAAAAAATCCAAGTCGGAGATTCAATCATCTGATATAATACATTATAACTTACAAATTACATTCTTTTTTCCCTCTTCCTTACAAATAAAAAAAAACACATTCTTTCCCAAATTAACTAATAAATAATAATAATAATAATAATTGTATTTGTAATTATAAATATAGAATAATTTAAAAAAATGCCGGATTACGTTTTCACAGCTTCTGCGTTTGTAGCAATTATCTTATGTATAGTTCCCAGTATCATTCACATACAAACAAGAAATTGGGGTGCGATATTTATGACATTCTGGGTGCTGCTCACAAACATGATAATTTTCATCAATTCCATATTATGGGCGAACGATTTGGACGATAAAGCTCCAGTATACTGTTACATAGCTACGCCATTGTATAATGCTGCACATTTTGGTATTATGGCTTCGGCTGTGTGTATGATACACACGCTACACAATTATGTTGTTAAGCCAACATTATTGACTGAAAATGTCAGGAGACGTCAAATATTAATACATTTTTTTCTGTCGATCGTTTTCCCATTCATACTTGTTGCGTTTAATTATTTGAACATTACATCTATTTATGGACTCAGACCTATTCTTGGATGTTCTATACAGGAGAGTAATACTTGGGTATATATTGTCGTAGATGCAATGTGGCCTTTAATAATATCTGGTACTGGATGTTATTTTGCAGGTAAATATTGTTATAATTTTCTTTCAAAATAAAAACCTTTTTTACATGTAAAAAAAATTAATAAATAATTATTTATTTTATAGCACGAACTGCCTATACTATCATTAAAAAAGGACTAGAAATACAAAGCCTGTTAAAATATTCCAAGTCTGGTTTAAACATATCAAAATTTTATCGATTGGTGCTTTTCTGCATAACATTCTTGATAATTGCATTTCCAGCAGCCTGTCTAACATTTTTCTCGAATATACAAGCGTTAGTACCTTATGATTTTGCTGAAATACATAAGGATTTCTTTGTGATCAAAAAATTCGACAATGGCGTGTCATTTATTGATTATGTTAAACCATTGACCGGCTTAATCCTATTCGCTTTTTTTGGTACTGGACGTGATGCAAAGCAAGCATATTTAAGATGGGCCAGGAAATTGAAATTAGATTTGGTGTGTGGATGTTGTATTAATTTTGAACTGGACGATAAAACCTCTACTAATGGTACTACCAGTACTTTGAGGAGCTTGTAAGTTTAATTATTTTTTGTGTTAATTATTTCACTTTATATATAATTCTAATTTATTTTTTCCCAATTTGTAGTAATACAACCAATTCACGTATTGGATCATCCCCAAGATCCCCAAGATCTCCACAATCACCAAATATAAATAATTCATATCATTCAAATCATTCAAATCATTCATATCATTCAAATCATTTAAGTAGCAGCAATAATAATGCCAACAATAATCTTATGCCACCTGAACCAACCCATAACAACATGGGTAATAAAATAATGAACTTCCTTTCTGGTCATAAAACACCAACCGAAAAAGCAGAATTTGATCTTACTAGTGGCATAAGAATTAGAATCGATGGATTAGATACAAAATCGGGTGATGATGAAGATTTTAATGATGAATTAATATATAACAACGATAAAATTGATAATAATGATGATGATATTAATAAAAATCAGTATTTATTAAAACCTGCACCAGCATATCTTAAATCAATTTATAAAACTTTAGAAGATGATCAAGAAGATGGCAATGATAATAGACTCAGGCCTGATATAAGTATCACAATACATAATGATTCATCTATGTCATCGTTATCATCATCTTCAACACTTAATAATAGCACGCCACCACCAAAACCAACGCCGTCAGAATTTATTTATGATGGTGACAGTTTTGGTGATGTTGATGATAGTGTAAACCATATTGATGTATTATTATCAGTTTATCCTGAAGAAAATCAAGACAGTAATGTCCCACCAATTGTGGAAGTTGTTCCGCCGACACCTGCATTTGTTGAAGAATATGAGAACGAACAACAGCAACGAGATAGTGATTATTATGGTCTTCATAGTAATGTTAATCAAGATGAAAGTTTAATAGATAATAGTAATCACGATATTGATCAAGATTCTCAGTATAGTAGTACTAATAATAGTGTTTATGAGCAAACCGGTATTGCTCTTTAATAAAAATAATTATAATTATTATTAATTTTTCATTTTATATATATATATAATTTTGCTTTCATATTTTATCACAACATTCAATTATACATACAACACACACACACAACAAATCAAAAAAATCAAAAAAAAAAATAGCATCATTTTTTGCATTTGCATTTTTCATTTCATTTTTTGTACATAAAAAATATATGTATACATATTTATTTTAGAAAAAAATGTGTGAATAATTTTATTAGTATAATATTATCATAATTAGTCAATCATTAAAAATGTATAGGCTTTTTGACAACTAAAATAAAATAGAACAAAAACTACTTATTCACCAATTACGTGATCTAAAAATTCTAAAAATACTAATACCTGCTAGCTCAGCATCATAATTATTACAACCGTGATTTATGTATTAATGTTCAACATGAACTTGTGCCTTAGGCCCCAAAAAACTGTTTTGAGGAAAAATATTATATTAATATTAGTAGCAGTATGGTAAGAAAAACAAATAAAAATAGGGAGAATAAACCTTTTTTTAGTGTACTGTAAGGTAACAATTTAACATACAGAAAATTATCCACTGTTCTGAGAACAGTAAAAAATTACATTTTCTAGACGTGCTTATAACTATTTCTATGTTATAGATGATGTAACTTCAATTTATTTGTATGAGTTAAATAAATAATAAGAAAAAACAATGGAAGTTTGAATATTGTGGATTGATCAATAACAAGTATAGTACATGAGTACATGGAGGTTTAAATCTTGAACTCATATTTAATGAGACGAAATCAAATTGCAGATGTCTTGATAATATAGAATTCATTTTCAGTTGATATTTCCACAACATATTTGATAATAGCAACAGCAACGAATGGTATTTAAACATTTTATAAAGAGTTTATGACGAAACTTTACTAGATAGGAAAGGAAGGATGGCCTTGTCATAACATGTTGAGAAAATGTCTAATTTGTATACGCTGTATGTGAATTATATTTCAAAATTGGAAATTAGTTGTTCGGTCTGTCAAAGAGATCGTAAAAAGTCCATTTTGCTAAACAGAAGGTCCTGAGGATATTATTAAATTAGATAATATAAAAAAAAGCCAAATTAACAATTCTAGAAAGTGATCAACGCTGAATATATACAAAGAAAAGATATCAAGCATGTATTAATAAGGTCTAGTGGTGGTTCATATGATTAAAAATATTTAACGTACAAAACTTGCGAATGTGTATAAAAAAGCAAATTACAAATTCTCTTATAATTACTACATATATGTTTGTGGGAAATTTGTGCATTATTGTATATAAATTAAAATTACTTAATCCATAATACAAGAAAAAAAATTATTATTCGAATTATCAGGCGCAACAATGGTAATAATGGTCAACAATGGTGTTTTATGAAAAATCAAAATATATATTTTTGTTACTAATTTAATACACCTCCAAATTCCTCTATCAAATGAAGCATTGTAAAACTTTTTCCAAGATTCAAATTATTTTTATATATTCCCTTTATAATAATAACAATAAGATTGGTTATTAATGCTAATTTTTTGATATTTAACATCAACTATTTTAGGATAATAATGTATGACGAAACTTTTGACTTTAACCATTGACGTAACTAAAGTATTGACTAAAGGGAGTTTCTCACAGGGCCATTTTGACGATTTGACTAAAGTAAAAGCCCTTGACGTAAGTAAAAATGCTTGATACGAATAAAAACACTTGATACAAGCAGCAATAATGATAATGATAAATATCAAGGATGAATAAAGAATTATTATATCATTGTATGTATATTGCAATAATTCAAGAATAATTATCATGGAAGTTTACAAATCTTATAATTTGAATTATTTAAATAAGCAACCTATTTTTTTCTTTCAAAATAAAAATGCCTCTTCTTTTCTACAAATTAAACCATTCTTTTATTATTACATTACATAAAATGCAAAAAATCAAAATTGTCTTTACATACATGTGAGTTGATTTTTTTTTTACGAATTTTTGACTTTGAAGTTAACTAAGAACTACGCATAATAATAATAGTAATAATATGCTTGAGCTATTTTTAGTGTCAGAGTTGAAACAACATAGTATTAGTACTTAGAACGACCTTTACATACCACATAAGACAGGTTTTGGTACATATTTTCGTAAGTTTTAATTTTGTTTTCTATTTTTATCACTTAAATTTTCAAAAAATTTCTTTGTTGTTGAATCACGATAAATCAGTTTGGTGATGATGAGGATGTCCTTTAAATAATGCAATTTTCGTTTTTTTCAATTTACATCTTTATCAAGCAATCAAAAAAATTGTTCTACGAAAAAATTGTTTGTTACACGTCATTCAATTCTCTGTAAACTTTTAAACAAGAAGATAACACATGAACACTACCATTAATCTCTTCATATGGTCCATTATTTGTTCATTACATTCAAATGGCCGAGCTGCTAAAATAGAGTTGGTCAAAAAACCCCTTCAAGCTTGGTTCTATTTCTTGGAACAATCTTTGTACTTCATCAAAATTGTATATAGGACCTTGATGGCTCCAGTGAAATCAATCTCTTCCTCTTCCCCTTCTGCATCTGTGGTTTTTACTCTCATATGTTCTCTTTTTAAAAGATTTTCTACAAAATTCATATAACAAATGTTACATAAAACAACACGTTACTTTCACTAAGTTGTTGTTCTCAGCTTCTTTCCATTTATTGCCTTTCAGTTGA